CGAACTGTCCGGGAATCAAATCCTGGGTCGTGCGTCGCCCGGGCCAACCAAGCCTTCCATCCCTCCGGGGTCGGTTAATTGGTACCAGACTTGTCTGGGAGGATAAAAACACTGACTTGTACATCGGCTGGCCCCCGCAAGTCATTGTATAGGCCACATCGCATTCAAACGCCACTACGAATGTAGAAGTAGAATGCGTGCCGCATCCCAAAAAGGGATTGATCAACGGCCTAATGCTTTATGCTTTCGAACAGACTTGGAAACGAAGAATAAGAGTTTCTTCAAGCAATGCCAATGTTGATCATTCGATGCTGATTAATTTTTAATTATTTTTGAAATATAGGCAACATCCGGTCCCTCATAAAGGATTCCGAAGTGAAAACCATTTCTTATATACCGAAACGGGACGATTTGGAAAATCTACTGGTGAGAAGTGCTCATAGAGGAGAAAAGAGGAATCCTATATCGGTTCCTGGAGGAATAAAGGAAACACTCTGTGCTAGTCCAGACAACCTGAACCCTGAATGTCATCAAAACTAAAAGGAAAAATTAAAACCGAAAGTGCTCGTAATAATCAAGGATCCCCAAGAACAATCACGCTGAACTAATGGCTCCTGTTCAATTGCATTCAAGTGACTTCTTTCGTGTCAATATAACCAGGTAAGAAGTTGAAAAATTGGTGCGAGGTAATAGGACCAGTTTTGTTGGTAAAAGATTACTCACATGATAGATTTCACCACATTATCTCTGCGTGACCCTTCAAAAATAATAATTTGGGCGGCCTTTTTTGCCTTTCGTGATGATTCTACTTTCACCTATCTCCCAAATCTTTGCGAGCTCCTCCATTGCGTTTTACATTCTGTGTACTTTCTCAAAAGTGAATACATGGCGCATACCATTACTTATACCAGGCGGCGATGGCTTTGAATCATTTAGGTAAAGAACAATGGGTAGTCAATTTCTTGTGAAGAAATTAGGCCGTCAGGACGAGAGAATTTTCAAAAATTTTGAAAAAATGAGCCACAAGGCCGGAAAGTGAGAGAAAAAAGACATGAAGCGAGAATTCCTTGGTTCGGGCTCTACTTTCTCCTTATCCGTGCTATTTCTCTCAGAAGGCCTCATCAGCAATCAAATCATGTGATTCTTCGAATCTATGTCCCAGAAAGGAACTACTTTCCAAAGTGCATTTGGTAAAAGCTACAAAAACAAGGCGGATGACATTCTTGCTGACGCCCAATAACCGTCCCATCTTTTAACGGTCGTAAGAGCATCGTCGCTACGCTTCCTTGCCATTATGCACCCTAATTGAAAGTATTTTTGTTCACTTTGTTAGTGCTGCTCCAGATCTTTTTTTTAAAAAGAAGAACGCCAGTTTTTACGAGCAGGAAATGGATTCACTGATATAGTCGTGTTCTCCCTGATTCAAAAAGTGATAGCGGTGTCCTTTCATCAAGATATCAGTGTCAGAAAGAATTTCAAAGAACGCGTTGATTCAACTCAAAAACGTGATCGGAATGCACGACTCACAAGAATACCATTGGGAATGCTAACAAAGGTTTTCACAGAATAGAGAAGCCCTATTAAAAATTTCCCGAATTTTTTTTTCCGTGCAAAGAGTACAACCCTGCACTTTAAACGATCGTTCGGTTCAAAATGACCAATCGCTTGAGAAATATTCTGCTATCTACATCGAAATACACAGAATCTAAGTATACTACGACTAAAAGTTGGGAAGTTTCTAAAGGCTTCAAAAATAGAAGCAAAAACAAATTGGAATTTTTGAAACTAGATCGTTATCCAGGAGTACCTTTTCACCAGGCATTAGTGACTCACAACGTGCCCACCTATACCGAATTATGGTCCGAAAGCTTCTATGTCTTATTATGGTATCAGCTATTTCAGCAATTATTGTCTTTTCTTCAAACTGTTTTGCCTGGCCGCTCAGGGAGAGTTTTTTCACTCGAGCATTTCTTTTCAGAATTTCAAAAAAAACAACAAAAAATTAAGTGCATCTCCTTAACCGTAATTTTACTATTTACAGCAATCAATATTCCCATCTCAAGTGTTGTGCTGTACCGGGGCCTTATCAGGGTCATAATGGTAATTTATACAGAAAAGGCACCAAAATTTCCTTTCAAGGAAATTCCTGCAGATACTAAAACCCCTGAAAAAAAATCCAGAAGAATTCTCCAAAAACTGCCGATGAATGAAAGAGCGCTATACACAAAGCGTTCCTTGCGGCTTCCACTCTACGGAGTAGTTTATTTATTTATTTATTCGTTTTATTTATTTATTTATTTATTTATTATTTATTTATTTATTTATCTGTGCGTTCAATGACGCCCTTAGTGAAACATTTGGCTGCACGCAAAATTGTTATGCAGATTCAGAAAAGAACAAATAAAAAGGAATGAACAGAAACAAAAATAACCAGCTATAAAAACCCGTGATTAGTGGACACGTTATAGAAAGAAAAATGACAACAAGAGAATACAAACGAAAGAAAGTCGTTCAGGCAGGAAGCTTTCCCCAAATCAAGAGCCGAAAAGTAAGAATGGCACTGTACTTACTGGAACTGACACTAACTTTGAGTTAAAATCTCAAAGGGCTATGAAGGCTCTGGCCTGGAGATAAATGGGATACACGCTGCAGGGTAAGCCAGCACCAGTCGGCCATGATGCCCTTTGCGCCACTGACGGGGTCATGGGGTAGCCAAAGTTTTTATTTCTCTTTTCGAATTCAAATTATATTTTTTTTGAGTAATGCTTTTTGGTGCTGCCTTTTCTCTCGAAAAGTGTGAAATGATCAGTTTTGTTGAGGTGTCAAAATTTGGAGCAGTCCGAATAAAGGAACCCCGAGCGGACAATTTTATCAAAATCGTGAGTATGCGCTCAGTGTGAATCGGATCAAACAAGTTCCTTCATCAAAGTAGTTGGATAAAAATAAAAGATGTAGCCACTTATAAATATTAGTTTTACAGAGATTCTAAAATTTTTTTTTTGAGACAACAGAATAATTCGAAGCTGAAAATCATTCGACAAGTGCGCCCAGCCTTCTCAGATTCCCTTGTCAAGCGTTTTTCCTACAGTGCTCTACTTTTCACACGAGGAGAATCCAGGCGCTGCACCCACTTGCGAAACGCTGTACACACATAAAAAGGCGTTCCGCCGCTGAAGATTAGAGTCCTTGAGGTGTTGCCGGTCTCTGGAGATCCCCACTCATCCACTACAGGCCTCTTGCCACATGGAAGCCTTTTCGACACTGGTCATCTTCAAAAGGACGCCCGTGAGAAATGATCTTTAAAAACCGTGTCCGTCTTTCGTTCCGAATTCATTTCATCGACCAACCCTCACAACAGCTTTCCTGGCCACGATAAGTTGAAAAGTGGCATTGTTTCACAAATTTTCTAACAGATCTTCTGTGATGCTGGTAGATCGCCTCAGCCCATGAGGTGGAGAAAGAGTTCTGTCAGTAATGGGTCTGGATGCTGTTATTCCGAGATTAGTTAAGCGGTGTGGATCTGTTATTCGAGATTATAGAGACGGTGTGCTTGTTGGTGTCAATCCACGCGATGTCGCCCGATGCCAGGGGCCATCTCAAGTTCTGTTTCTTTTGTTCAGGCTCCGGATACGAAAAGGACATTCCTCAACTCAAAGGAATGAAACCCTTGTAAGAGAGGTAGACATGTACAAAAAGCCATAGCATTTAGAATTTGATGTACATATAAGGCAGAAGAGCTTAGGCCCATCACTAGTCTCGCAGCTTTGCACCTCAAGCGGCTCAGAATTCAAGGATGTCAGCATGTCGCTCGCCCCTGTGCTCATCGTTTTAACGTCTGTCCCACATCACGGATGCCCAGTGTCTCACCAGTTTTGACCTCCACTTCTTCTCACCGAGGCCCGTCGTCGATCATCTACAGTTTCATTTTCAGCCCCGTTACCCACATTCTGCAATCAAGCAATCTGCCTTGAAGCCGCTTTGACACTCCTCATTTTACAATAGGATGTCTGATGATTCTACCTGGCCATATTTCAATGACTGCCGTTTTAACTAAGTAACTTCAAACCAAGCTTCAACTTTTCATGCCACGACATTAGCCCACAATTTGCTCAATGGGCTATACCTGATATCTGCGCCTTTCTTCTTCGCGACGTCGCTCCTCCTCTTCTTGACGACGTTTCGCTTCCAGCTGGAGACGACGCTCGTGTTCCTCTCTACGCTGAGCTTCTTCTCGTCGAGCCAATTCCTGGGAGAATTAGGTAAAGGTAATAACATTCGAAAACAAATGAGAAGATGTGGTTCAAGTATGAGAATAAGGTGCAAGTTTTTCAAGGAAAGCATTGGACAGAGCATTCAGAGGCAGACTCATTGGATTTACCACTTGTGGATGCGGTTGTAAGGTACGCTACTACGCCTTGAAAAACTTCACTAAGGCGCTCGGCACCAGATCACTCTTCGTTGGAAATTTTTTTTGAAATAAGACGATGAAGACGAATATGCAGCAGAAATCTTTCAGATCTCTCCTCGTTTCGTAGAAAATTGGACGTATTCGAAAAATCCCTCCTAAATGTATTTTCCCCCATGTCCCTAGAAAACCTAATCCCTACATAGAATCACAAAATGCTCCCCTCACTTCGTCAGAGAAATATCTGGATGGTGAGGCAACTTAAAGGAATCTTCCACGGACCATGGACCAGTGGGCGGGACCGGAAGTGGTTTTGCGACGAAATGCATGGTAGGTACGGATCCACGTTCATGGGAAGGTTTGAAGTGAATCCTGTTCACGTTCGTGCGTTCGACACGTGGATCCGTACCTACCATGCATTTCGTCACAAAAACTTCCGGTCCCGCCCACTGGTCCATGGTCCGTGGAAGATTCCTTTAAACTGCGGCCCCGTTCAGCCTACCACCCCCCCCCCCCCCCCCCCCCCCCCCCCCCCCCCCCCCCCCCCCCCCCCCCCCCCCCCCCCCCCCCCCCCCCCCCCCCCCCGGGCGGCCCGGCCGGGTGGATCCAATCGAATGTGCTAATGCTCTTACTTCTCAGTAGCGTTACTTATCTTTTTTTCATCGGCATTATTATCCTCCCTGCCATCCTTTTAGACTCCCCTATAGCATTGAACGAGGGCGCTTATATCTTCGGTTTTGCTTGGTCGGAGAGGGGAGCGGTGCCTTCAATATTATTTCTACACTTATCGAGTATCGCAATATCTCACGAGCTACAAACTGTTGCAGAACGAAAACCACGCTCTGCTTGAGAACATTAACTTTCAATTCAAAATCGAAGCTTAAAGTTGGAGCGCGAGCTTTAGTAAGCATCAACCTCTTTCCGGTGAGCCAGTTATAGTCTTAAAGGCAAGTAACGCTCACTGTCTAGGTGTCCAGAACCAAATTCCAAAATACACTTCAAAATTATACCCACCTCTTCTCTTCGTGCTTGTTCCTGCTGCCGACGTTGTTCCTCCTCCAAACGTCTACGCTCCTCCTCTTCACGTCTTCGTGCCTCCTCTTCACGATAATCGCCTTCTCCGCCTCGCCTACGTTCCTCTTCTTCACGTCTTTGCTGCTCTATCAACTCTCGTCTGCGTTCCTCCTCCTCACGTCTGCGCTCTTCCTCCTCTCGCCGTCGTTCTTCCTCTTCACGTCTGCGTTCCTCTTCTTCACGTCTACGTTCCTCCTGTTCACGTCGTCGTATCTCTTCTTCACGCCTCCGTACTTCTTCTTCACGTTGACGGTCATCCCCTCCACGTCTTCGTTGCTCCTCTTCACGTCTACGCTCCTCTTCCTGTCGTCTCTGCTCCATCATCTCTCGTCTACGGAGCTCCTCTTCACGCCTTCGTTCCTCTTCTTCTCGACGTCGTTCATGTTCCTCTCTCCGTCGGAGCTCTTCTGCCTGTCGTCTCATTTCCTCTTCATCCCGTCCACTTTCATCTGCTCGAGGCGTCTGCTCCTCTCCACGCTCCTCTTGTCGTCGACGAGACATCGCCTCTTTGAAGTAATCTGAACAACAAACTCATCAAGTATCTCGTTCTCGTTACACCTCGCATTTTGACAAATTGGTAGCGCCGGCCGTGCCCGGTGGAGGTGGCGGCCATGAGAGATTTCCCACGGAATAATTAAGTGATTTTGGATCGCAGTAAGACACTGAGTGCCTGCCTGTTCTATAGGTGCGAAAACTCCTTCATCACCCCGCCACATGCTCCACTCCACGGCTTTGGCAGAACAACTGAAGGATCCCACTTAGCTCTTCACTTACCACATTCGGTCTCGTCAGTCCCGTCTGAGCAGTCGTATTTTCGATCGCATGCGAGCGATTTCTCTATGCATGTACCGTCTCCACATCTGAACTGATGATGGGGTGAACAATGACCAGCCTGAAATGATCGATCGTTATCGGAGGAACTATATTATGACGAGAAAACAAAAACTAAACAAAATAAATAAATCGCTGAATGACAGTGAGAGGATTTTGAAGGAAAGTTGATGCTTCATTCATCGCATCGTGAGGCAGGGATCAGACTTCGCGACCA